TCATGGCTAATTCTCAAGATTCCTGTATTAATGACAACAAAAACAACGAGAACACTTCACCAGTGGAATACTCTGATGATTTCTTCGAGAAGATGGATGCTGAGATAATGGCTTATTCTCAAGATTTCTGCATTATGGACAACAACAACGAAAACGCTTTACCTGCAGAAAACATGGATGATATCGACATGGATCTTGATCAAATCATTGATTTTGGGACGGCTTCTGAAACCTTATTGTCCTTCTATGATGGGATTCTCAAGACAAGTTTTGAAAGCTTATTATCCGATGGTGTTTTCGAAAGCACTCTAGACCTTCAGGAGTTTGCTGCTAGTCTTCTCACTGGTTCTGATTCTCATGACTCTGTGGATCCAATTATGTTCTCTGATTCTGAACCTGTTAAAGATGGAGATTTGGTGCTTCAGAACAGAGGTGGTTTGAATGATGATCACCTCCACTCCTCTGACGTTTTCAATGAGTTAACTCCTATTGTTACCCTTTGAACAAAGCTTATTGATTAGTAACTTCTGATTATTTTCTTTATGTATGTAATTTGTATAACCCACTACTATGTTTAGGGTTTTGTTCTGTTAACTTTGATGAGAGATATATGTGTCGTATTTGATGTAATGCAGCGTCCGGTTTGACTTCTATCAATTTTCCATATATATGAAGGAAATTGATCGAACTCAAACCGGTTCAGCTTCAATTTGAATTAATGATAAAGTCTGAATTCTGGTTAGATGTTTTGTATTTGTAGTTTCAAGTCCAAAATCATGTAATACTTTAATAAAACTCAAAACATTAACCTGTCACAAATTAAATTGCAGACACAAAAAGTCGAAATTGGAAGGAGAAGTGAAACTACAAAACATTAACCTGTTCACTGCATTTCTGCTAATAATATACAAAAGCCGGTAAGTTTGGGATAAATCATCTGGATGAGAAGAATATGTTCACAACTTGAGTTTATCAGTTCCGCCGGTGGTAAGTTTGTCAGCAGAAATCCATCAGTGACTTCCACAGAAAACGTTACTAAGAAATGAGAATCATCCAGATGATTTATCCCATTCTTGTTCATTGTGGACAGCCGAAGAGAATCAATCAACACCGGCAAAATTCTCTGTTTCTGAGGGAGGCAGAGCCAAAGAAAAAGAAACGAGAGTCAAAATTTTGAAACTATCTTGTGATGCAAACGAAGAATATCTGTAATACCCGAGATATTGGATCGACTGAAGTGCATGATTGATAACTCCTACTTGTCCTTGTAAGATTAAGAGCCTTCCATCTTCACCTCTGTTGCTAACCAAGAGTCTTCCACTTGCAGGCAGTCTAAACTGCATCAGCATCGGAGACAGAATGACTGATCCTGAAAGTGCTTGTACCGTTACTCAAATGTTCTCCAGTAGGTCTGAATTATGGCTACAGAAACCGAACAAGCAATAAGAATTTGCCAGCGGTAACAAGAACAAAGTCAATGGAAATATAACCAGACTCAATCCATCTCATGTGTTTGATGTTAAGAATTCTAGCAATTGGCCGTTTTCACAAAGAAGAGAAACAACAAAAACCCAGATTTAAACTTGTTCTTATCATCCGACCAACTTGAAGAAATTTTGAGGAGCCCAGATTCATCTACGATAATAAGAGACACACTCGAAATCAAGAATACATTACCGAGGATCGCATAATAATGGAGAAAACAGAAACAAACCTGTGGATTGGGATTTTGAGACAGCAGTGAAGAAGAAGAGAGCCAGTAGTGAAGCGAATTTGATGGCCATGACCAAGAAAAACAGAGTCGATTAGGGAAGAAATTGAAATTAGCGCCAATTGCTGCTGTGATTTTTATTTTGGGTTAATTGGGGTATAGGAGATAACCCAAAAAACAATTATACAATTTCAAAATCTAACCAAATACGGCCAAATCTCACCCATTAAAATTTGTTATTTTGAAATATATCTATCCAATTAACCCTTTTTTTATAT